AGCAGCCCAGACCAGAAAAACCACCCAAACCATCCAAAAAATCATGAGAGATGAATCATGGTTGCTTAAAACCACTAAATTGTGGGATGGTTTGTTACACAGCAGAAACCGACTGATACACTGAGCTCCCCACCACTGTAGCTTCCACTTGTCATGTCCCTTGGTCAGAGTCTCTATTCCAGTGACCGCCTCCCCCAACTCCTTCGTTCTTTTAGGGCTCTCTCACCCCAGCCTTATTACAAGAGTGGAGGCCTCCCAGTGAACTCTAGTCAACGGCCAAGACTGCATGGTAACAACTCTTCATGGTTTGCAATGCCCCTCTACATCCATGACTTTCCCCATCCCCACCACGACTCTGAAAGAGAGACATCATTATCCCCACTTTTCCAAAGAAATAACTAAAGCTCAGAGAGGTTGTCAGACATACTAAAATCACACAGCCAACCAGGGACTCTTCTGACTCCAAACCCCATGTTCTTTCTACCTTATCTCATGAGGATTAGATCACAGCTCCCCCTACCCAAGCTGGCAGATGTCCCCACTGGCAACAGTTTGCCGGAATTTCTGAATGTCAGCTGACTTGGATTCCGCACCTTGGCCTTGCTTGTTGTTGGAACACCTGCTGCTGGATCCAAGTCAGCCCTCCCAGATGTCACTCACCTGCTGAGGCTGCCACCTGTCGTCTGCAGCCAACCCCTTGGATTTATGATCTGTCAGCCAGATTTGATTTCCCTCCAGAGCCTTTATTCTCTGGGTTTGTCCCCTCAGGCCCCACCCCTCCCTGGTCCTAGATCTACTCAGCCCAGCCCCTCCCACACTGTCCCCACATCCCCAGAGGGGAGAGGCAAGCCCCACTCCGTACGGAGAAGGGAAGGAGGCTTAATAGCTACCACATTCAGTTCTGGCTTGACCATTTCTGAGTTTTGTGGGTCACTTCGCCAAGAGAACTAAGGTTTTACAACTGGATCTTTTTTTTTTTTTTAAATGTTTTATTTATTTCTAGGAGAGAGAGAGAGAGAGACAGCGTGAGCAGGGGAGGGTCAGAGAGAGAGGGAGTCACAGACTGAAACAGGCTCCAGGCTCTGAGCCGGCAGTCAGCACAGAGCCCGACGTGGGGCTCGAACCCACGAACCGCGAGATCATGACCTAAGCGAAAGTCGTACGCTTAACCGACTAAGCCACCCAGGCGCCCCTACAACTGGATCTTTGATCCTAGCACTTTTGTCCGGTAAGGTGGAAATGTATCTCTGTATGCATAGCCATTAAAATTGTGAGAAGGAAGAAGAACTAGGTCCCGTTGTCCAAAGCAGGTCATGTGGTCAAGCCCAGACTGAAGTGTCTCACTCAGTGAGACAAGTGACAAAGTTCCATTGCAAAGGGTCACACGGCCAGGGATGGTAGGGGTTCTTCCTGAGCTCAGACAGGCCTTTACGGAGACGGACTTCTTGTCTGTCCCGCAGCTCGATGGAGAGAAGTCACAGGGGCCTCTTGGTCTGTCAGCCTCATACTGGGGGTCTCAGAGTGGAAGAAAGGTTCGCCCTAGCTTCTGTTTTGCTTTATGCATCTGGAACCATCCTGGGAATCTCTTGGGAGGAAATTCTGACCAGCTTATCCCCCAAAAACAAGTCTGGAGAAGGGAGTTTATATTTCCACTCTGATATGGTTTGTCAGTAACTTCTCAACTAGGCTGTACCGGGATGCCTCAGGGCATCAGACTTGGACTCCGTCCCAAGAACAAAGGAGCTGACCATTCATTCCCACAGCCCCAGCACTGTGCCTGGGACTCGGTGAGCGCGCAGCAGATATTCGCTGCATCAGTGAAGGATGACTAGGTGAGTGATGTTGTTACACGGCCAGCAGTCCCCTCACTGGAGGGCCGTCCCGTGGATCAGACAAACACACCCAAGACGAACACGATCAAGGGCAATCATGCTGCGGAGGGACCTTCTCACTCGAGATTCTGCCCTCCTAAAAGCTCTCTATTTCACTGGCTAGAGTCTCACTGTGGAAGCAACAGCTAACGTGACCCAGAGGTGGACACGGCCTGATAAATCCACCTCTGAAATCGGCTTTGGCAGGTTACAGGTGTTGAGGGTCAAAACGTGCATATTCAGCAATGCCACTGCCAAGTGTCCACTCTAGAGAGACTCTCACACACGAGCAGAAGCAGCTGAATGTGAGGACACTCGTTCCAGGGCTGCGCTTAGTAGAGGAAGGTCAACAACACACCTTCTCTCAGTAGGAGAACCGGTAAATACACTAGGCTCTATTTCAAATATTGGAATCCACACAACAGTTAAAATCTACAACGATACTTACGTCAATAACCATATTACAATACCATGAACTAGAAATCTCAAAAACCTAAGTGGCTTACATTATCATTCCATTATGTAAAGTTTGAAATCACACATCATAGGGATGGATTGTTTACATCTAAACCCATAGGGGGCAAGATAGGCCAACGTTCATGGGTAAAACATTATCAGTCTCAAGCTAGGGGTCACCTGCGGGGATGGAAAGCCGGGGAAGTGAGGAAAAGAGGAGGGGATTAGCAGCAATATATTTCTTCTTCTTCTTTTTTTTTTAATGTTTGTTTATTTTTGAGAGAGATACAGAGTGCGAGCAGGGGAGGGGGCAGAGAGAGAGAGGGAGACACAGAATCAGAAACAGGCTCCAGGCTCTGAGCTAGCTGTCAGTACAGAGCCCGAGGCAGGGCTCGAACTCACAAGCTGTGAGATCATGACCTGAGCAGAAATCAAGAGTCGGACACTTAACCGACTGACCCACCCAGGGGCCCCTTTCTGTTTTTATTTTTAATACATGAATACAGTCCTTGACCACTGAACAAAAAGCAGTCGACCTTTTCTCCAAATCCCCCAATCTGGTCAGTTTTCTCCTCCCCAGAACATCCCACTACTGACCATTTCAGCCCTTGCACCCTCCGTGGTGAGCAACCTCCCCAGGTCTTCAGATAGAACGTTCCACATGACCAGGCTGTGTCCCCGGGACACAGTGTCCCCTGAGTAGCTCTCTCCCTCCAGTGGGGCCCGGTTCCCCCACACCCCATGCTGGAGCAGCCACAGCTGTCCTGTGACAGAGTCCCCATTCCTACCCTGAGGAAGAGCCACCGCCCGGCTGTCCTACCCTCTACCGCTGTCTCAGCACCATCAGTGCCACATCCTGGTCACCCCACTGTCGTTCCCTGAGACCCTGGGGCTGCCTCGGTCTTCTCCCACTGCAATGCCTGCCATACCCTAGATCCCCACACCATCCCGCACACAAACCTGCCATTGCTGAGCCTCTTTAATGTCAATGACCGTCTCATCCACCGCAGCCACATCCTAAATTGTCGTATTACCTCCCAGAGCTGTGCTCCTTCCTGCCTCCCTCTCTCTGACCTCTGCCTTCTCTTCCAGGTTATCCACTCTACCCAAACACTCCATGACCTCGGAGAGCCCCCAGGCCTTCACCTCCATTTCCTCCCTGCCTCTCTGTTTCCTCCAGGTCTCCCTCCCCGCCCCTCTGAGTCTGGGCCCCGGAGGTGAGGCGCTGAGTCCCTCCCACTCACCAGTCCCCTTCACACTGCCCCCTGCGTCCCAGCCTCCACAGCCCACAAGACCTGGACCAAAGCCACCCCCTTTCCTCCTGGCACCCCGGGACTGAGGCCGCCCCCAACCCGAAAGCCGGGCATCTGCCACGGACAGTCTGGGGCCCTGTAAGCCCTGCTCCCTGGCTTTCGTGGGGACCCGTTCCCTGCCCTTCAGCGATTAGTCAAATCTTCATTTCCGATTCTCCCTGCTCAATCCTGATCCCTAATTTCCGGCAGACAACTGCCCCCCCCTCTCTGAAAAATCCCTGCCCCCCCCCTTCTCTGAAAAATCCGAGCAATCACACATGATTCTCTGCAACTCCACTGACTCCACCCAGGAGAGGGGGCGCCCTTCTACCCCCGCCCCTCAGCTGAGGGCGCCACCAGCCTCTTACTTCCCCTGTGCAGATTCTTGGGTGCCTTGCAACCCCCCGCCCCTCACCTTTCACACCCAACACCAAGCACTGTCACTTCACTTCCTAAGTAATTCTTTCATCCTTCCCTCAAGCCCTGTCACGACAGGGCTAGTTCAGGGCCATCCGCAACTCTGGTCTTTCCAGCTCCAAACCATGACCCTCCAGTCACCCTCCACGGCTGCCAGAGGATGCTCCTAAAATGACCATGTGCCATTATCCCGCCCTTGCTTAAAACCCACAGAAGGTCCCCTGTCACTCATAGGACATCACAGGACATGGCCCAAGCCCCCAGCGCAGCCCCCGGGGCCCCCACAACCTGACAGTGTCTCCACAGCTTACACTCTGTCTTGCACCTGAAGCTCCAGCCTCGCACCCCCGCATACTTCTGGCTTTTTCTCACGTCTGTTTCTGCTCAAACTCTTCCCTTGTCCCCAGATGCCCTCCCACTCCTCTTTGTTCAACCAGACTCAGCTTGAGTGGCCCTTCTTCCAGGAAGCCTTCGCTGGCTACACTGGGCGAGGTGAGGGATCGGCCCTCTCTATTCCCCAAACACCGAGTGCATCTGGCTCTATCATGGCCATTACCAAATCGTTTAATAACTTTCTCCCTTTGTGAGTTTCTCCCCCACCTGATGTGTGGCAGGTGACTTTACAAAAGAACTCTGCACAAAATGCTCATAGGCAGAGAGGGACAGGCAGGATGCACTTGAGATTCCAATGCACAGGCGTGCCCTCCCCTCCCCAGGTGTGCCTGCCGCAAGCTGCCAGTCACATCCGACCACATGGGCATGGCCACACTCGCACCAGCCAGGCATGGGCCAGGCCCCTCACCTGCGGCCAAGCAGACCCATCTCCTGGGCATGGATACTCATGCACAGCCCCTCCCAGGGTCTTCTAAATGCCACACGCCCTGTCCCCATGCACCCTATGGCCAACACCCCGTAGCCTCCCCAGATCCCGTGCCCTTATGGCCACCTCCCTGAAGCACTATACCTTGGCCAGGGATCTCACTATGGGACTTTCCATAATGCCTCGAAGGAAGATCAGGTCAAGCTCCGCGGCCCCCGTGGCGTTGGGGAGGGATCCCAGGTTGTCCAGGACCTGCTGCATGGCTGGGAAGGAGGCACGGGCAGTGAGACCCAGGCACCAGCCGGGCACAGGAGACCAAGACACACCATAGCAGTCCCACCCTCCTGTTCCATGCCCCTCTCTAACAGCACTGCCCTCAATGCTCGGCCCGGACACTCCAGGCCCCCAAAAGCCTGGGGAAGGGGGTGGAGGGAGGGGGCAGTTTGCTCGGCCTGTTCTCTAGGCCTTGGGTAATGCCAGCCTGGGCAGGTGGGAGGCTCCAGGGAGCAGAAAATGGACTCAGGTGGGAGGAGGGGAGAAACGGAAGTAGTCGTCCGTTCTGTCCTACACCAGAGAACCACAGACCCTTCCCTCAACCTTTGGATGGGCTGAAGTCCCAGGCCTCAGCCACCTGCACCTAGAAGGTTCAGGAATAAGAGAGGCAGTACTTGGGGGTGTCCCTGAGTGCCAGCCCAGTGGCAAGCCAGCAGCCATGCAGGAGGCCAGAGCCTATACAGTATCCAGTGCAAATAGCACACCACTAATTCAGTGTGATTTTTTTCCACAAAGTCATGGTTCCTCACTGGCCTCAGTCTTTCCCTCCTGTAAAATGGGTGGGTGCAGCTAGACAGTGTCTACTGGCCCTTCAGCTCTGGCAGAGAGGCATCTAGTATCGGTGAGAGGTTAATATTGATCATAGAAAGCCAAAGCTGAGGCCGGGAATATTGGCAAGAGCTGGGGAAATGGGCACCCTGAGGTGCCACGGGCACCAAAGGGCAGAGAGGTTAGACCAAGTCAGCGCAGGGATCAGCAAACCCACAGCCCGGCATGGGACACAAGGATGTGAGAACACCTGACACGGGGCCACCGCGGTGGCTGCTGGGATCTGAGGTAGGGGGTGTCTTCACCCGCCCACAGAGGTGGGAGCTCCTGGCTGTGGCACGTTCTAGGGGGAGGAAGGGAGGAGCAGAATGTGCCCAGCTGGGGGCAGAGATGGGCAGGGGGTATCATTACTCTGCCATCCAGCCACCCACGCCTGCATCTACGCCTCTCAAGCTATGGAGGAGGGGTGGGTACCGTCCCTGCCTCCTCTCACCACTGTAGCCAGAGCCCCCTCCTCCAGGCAAGAATGGGGATGAGGAGGAGGGGGCTCGGAGCTGAAGAAGCAGTCATGGCTCAAGGAACCCCTCTTCCTCTCCTCCTCCCCACCTTCTCCAAAAACAGCATCCAAGCTGGCCCTCTAGAGCCCTCCCTACCCAGGCTTGGGCTTGGCATTGATCAGAGACCTGCAAGGCCTTTAGTGGCCTCGGAAAGAAGCCTTGGGCAGGGACTCTTCCCACCCTCCCCTGCCATCCTCACCTACGGACTCACAAGCCTGTCACCCTTGGAGGAAGACAGACACAGGGGAGTTAATGCCCTCTGCCCAGGCCAGCTCTCCTGGCAGGCTGTGCCCCCAGACCCTTCGATTCCTGAGCGCCCGCTCCCAGGGCACCCTCTCCAGATGCCCAAACCCCTAGGGAGGAGGGTAGATTAAGGGGCCAGCTTTCCCCCCAGCCTCCCTGCCCCGCTTTTCCCTACCTTCCCTCTGGAGATCGGCTTCCTCAGAAGAGCCCAGGGATATACCCTCCAAGGAGGCCCCGCTGCCCGGACTGCCCGCCATCGCTGCCCCCCACCCGCCGCTCCGGGGCTCCTGGAGTAGCCTCCGCGCAGCGGTCTCTGCCTTCCCTGCCCAAGGGGGGCGGTGCTGGAGGAGGAGGGACTGGGGAGCGCCCTCTGCAGGATCAGCCAATAGCTAGGCTCAGACTCCCTGCCTGCCTTGCTGATTGGCCAAAGCCCCGACTGGACCAGACGGTTGGGAGGGGGCGGTACAAGGGAGAGTGGGGCCGAAAGAGAGGGAGTCCTGCTCTTCTTGCTGGTGCGAGATCACCCCCTACCCGTACCAGCGGGGGGGATGGGGAGAAGGGGGCCGAGAGGAGGTTTGTGGGGCAGGGGGTTCAGCCTGCTGCCCCTTCAGAACTGAAGTGGTGCTCAGAGATCCTCCTCTCAGTCCAGCTGCAGGAAACCCAAGGCGGGGTGGGGATTTGGCCCCAGCTTGTTCCCGCCCCCCCCCCTTCTGGAAGTCTCTCCTCTAATATACCCATGCCACTTCCTCCTCTGGCCCTCAGACCTCTACTCTATGTTCCTTCTCCAGACCCAGTTTCCTTTACAATGACCCCCTCAGGATCAAAGGAAGCCCTCAAGAATGACTCTCAGCCCACCCCACCCCCCAGGGGCAGTGGCACCCTTTTGGCATGGGGCAGATAGGCAAACCACAAAGCCTCCTTCTACCTGCTGGCCTTGGAGAGTAGTGGAGGGGGGGGGACAGGGAGAAAAAGGAGGGGAAGGGAGGGACATTACAGTAGGTCGGGAAGGGTGCCTCAAGCCCTTCCGACCCCACACCTCAGCAGCGCCTCTCCCCTCCTCCCATCAGGCATTAGCTTCTCCCCTGCTGGGCAAGTCAGGCATCCTGGAAGGGAAAAGGTGAAGGTGCATTCTCGAAGCAGGGGCACAGGTGGGCAGGAGCAAAGGACTTGGCAGTTAGCCCAGCCTAGTGCCTCCATCCCCCTGATACCCTGTACCGATGAGGCCACCGCCAGATGCTGCTGCTGCTGCCACCAGACAGCCATTCCCTGGGGAGTGGCACCAGGTCCTAACGCACCCCTGGTTGCCATGGCAGCAGGAGGGATTACACACCAGGACATTAACCCTGGGATGCAAGAGAGATTTAAAGGGACAGCTCCACCTCAAAACAGCCGACATCCCAGCCTTGATTCAAAGACGAGGGAGAGTCAAGTAAAGAGGGAAGAGAGGGTAGGGCGGCAGGTCTGGAGACTCCAGGGCTAAGTTCTCTAAACACCAAGCCCATGCCATAACCATGTATCTCCCAACCCATCCCATGCCCTCCACTTTACTAGAAGTAGAGTTGGGTCTCTGCAGGAATCCGCTCACACCATCTCCCCTCCACAATGACAATGGCCATGCTGGCCCACGGGGAAGGGTGGGAGGACACTGCTCGCATCATGCTGCAGGTCCCCAGGCTGGGATCTTCTGGGGAAGGGAGTGGGGAGAGGGAGGTGACCCTGACCTCAGAGGCAGGGCCACTGCTCTCTATCAGGCCTGTAGGAAGTGTAATGGCCACCAAAAGAGAAGAGGCAGACCCATCATTAGATTTTTGAGGCCAGGAGCCAATCCAGCCTGCGGTGGGCAGAGAGGGCTGCCTGCAGGAAGGGCCAAGACTCATAGTCTCAGGGTCTCACATCACCTTTTAACAGAAGAGGAAATAAGAGGTTAAGGAACCGGCTACTGTCCTCCTTCCTTTGGATATAGGAAGCCAGAAGTAGCCCATGGCAGATATGAGGGTCCCCTAGGAGTCCTCAGAGGAAGCAGACCTGTACCCACGCCCCTAGTTTCCCTTCCCTGCCTGGCCTCCCGCTGCACCCCCACCATGCTCCCCATCAACTGGCCTGCAGCAGGGAAGTCAAATTCCCCTCCCTCTACACCCCTGCCAGGCACTATTAATGGATTTACTGGGCAGACCCAGATTGAGAGGCCTTTAATCGAGGGCTCAGGGATGGGCTTAATTAACTCCTAAGCAGCTTATAGTGGGGCCCAGGCCAACTGGAGCAGAGGGAGAGCCCAGGGGGTTCAGCAGGCCGGACAGGAGGTAGGGACACTGAGTCCTCCACGCCTGCCAAAGCTGGGGGACATTAGTACAGTTCCTCTACTACATGGAGGAAAGGCCCTTCTTGGGGGACAAGGGTGTCACAGTTTAGGGTCTAGCCTACTCACAGCATCCTTCATTTTCCTGGTTCACTTTCTCAGAGGAGAGGGACAGGGGAGTCATTCTAACCAAACTGGGAGGCCTGGAATGTCTTATAGACTCAGCAGCAGGACCCGGAGCAAGGGAAGGGGCGACACAGGCAGGAGGTCAGACAGAGCAGAGCAAAACCAGAGCAGATTACAGCCAGCCTAGCCTCTAGCACAGGGAACTTCACCTGGTGGGTCCCTGAATGCACAAGGGGCTCCATGAGCCCCCGGGAGGAGAATGCAGATTTTGTGCACAGAAGCATCTGTCTATGATGAGGTGGGAGAATGCAGATTTTGTGCACAGAAGCATCTTTCTATGACGAGGGCCCACCGCTGTCACCAGATTCTCAAAAAGGGATTCAGGACCAAGAAAAGTTAAGAGCGCTTCTCTCGTCCAATCGCTTCATGTCACAGATGGGAAAACCCAGGTCCTACAAAGGACTCCAGGTCACAGGCTAATTGAGGTAATAACCCAGCACAGTAACTGAATATTCCTACGATAGGAATATCATCACGGCCTTTGAATTTCCCATCAACCTCTTGATAGAAGAGGAGACACAGGCCCCAAGAGGTTGAGTAATTTGCTCCTAAGGCTTTGGAGCTCCTCTGGGCAGCCCACCCCCTTGCCCTAAAACCTCCCACGGAATTGGGCCCAGGCTTCCTGAACTGGCATTCTCCGCACACAGCTCCTTATGCCCCAGCACACGTACACACACCGGTCGCTGGCACCTGCTGGTTTATCCCACCTGTCCGGTGGGCACCGCACTGTGGACGTCTCAGCCCCCAAGCTGTTCTGCTATAGTCCCTCCACTCCCAAGCAGTCCTCTGAGAGCTGGCTCCCCAACCAGCCTGGCCCCGTGCCATTGCCCTCCAGCAATACTGTGAGTGTCTCTGGGGCATTGCAAGCCCCTGCCCTCCATGGAGGTGAGTTGTGCTGCGTCTCCAGCCACACCCTGGAGCAGATGCAGCAGGGCCATAGAAGCTGCCGGAAGGAAAGCCTGAGTGGCAGGATGGAGCATTGGGGGGGGGGGGGGGGGGAGTTTATTCTTATAGGTAGCCAGGTAGCCGTGGACATGGACGTGCCAACTGCTATTCTCCACCCTCAGGTCCCTGCCTGGCCCTCTCTGAACCACTGATACAAACTGACCTCCTCAGCCCCTTCTTACCAGACTCAGAGTTGGTGGCAGCAACAGGCATGGTGAGGTCTGCAAGGGCTCTGGAAGTCTTTCCTGGAGAAGAGGAGGGAAACAAATGAGAAGGCACAAAGGCACGGCAATGGGGAAAAAACAGGGGGAGGGGGGCTCCCCTCAGGATCAGGGCATTCCCCAGAGACCAAATGATCCCACAGGAAGGCAGGAAGAGCAGAAATCACATCCCCATCCCTCCAAGGAGGAGGATGCGGAGGATCAGAGAGGTTAATTGCTTTGCCCAAGGTCACAAAGCTAATAAAAAGAGCTACAAGGAAAACCCAGCATTTTTACTGTCTCTGTCTGCCATCTGTCCTTTGTTGTGTTTTTTTTGGGGGGAGGGGGTAGGTAAGAGTCCAGAATTTGAGTCAAAAGCAGGAAAGATGGGCATTCCTAGGCTGTAAGCTGGGTGAAGTAAAAAACTACATCTGTTTTATTTTGCTTCTGGAACCTCTACCTAGCCAGTGTAGATGCTCTATAAACGTTTGCCTGTCTGGCTGACAGAAATGAAGTCATACCTTCCCAAGGCCTCTCTGACTTCCTCTTTCTCCCTTTTTAGCCCAGAGCTGGGACAAGGAAAGCCGGGGGCTCCCCATTCTCCGGGGTGCAAGGGAGCCACCCACTCCCTTTTCCTCCCTTTGCCTTCCTGGCCACTTGCTGCTGGAGAAAACCCTAATTCCCAGTTGCCGTGACAACTAGAGGCAGTGGCTCACAGCAGGGGTGGGGGAGAAGAGGGAAGCAGCTGGCAGCGCCCACTTTAGGACTGAATGCCTGCTGGGCCCTGGGCGTTGGGAACCACAACTTCACCTCCCCCTAAAAAAAAAAAAAAAAAAAAAAGAGTCTTCCCAGAGGGACCAATACCAGATTTTAATAAAACCCTCCCACCCCCAGGCCAGAGCTGGTCACCTGAGCTCAAGTAGCCGAAATTACAAAGGCTGGGGGAAGACTTCCCTTCCTCCTGGATCTGCCCCGAAAGACACGGAAGAAAGGAGTTTTAGGGGAGAAGAAGGGCACCCCCGGTCAGGTTAGCACCCAGGCTGGGAGAAATGTCCAGCATCTACCGTGCCAGCCAGTGCCCCCCTCGCCAGCCCTTGCTGTCCGGATTCTTTCCCTCACCCCCTCACCCCACCTAAAGTCCTGACACCTGGCACCTGGGACATTCTCCCCTGTCTCCCCGACAGTTATTGGCAGAGAGGATTCCAGACATCCTCCTTCCTTAGAGAGCAGAAGGTGAGAAGAAGCAGGGAAGATCCTGTCCCCTGGAGTCTTGCCCAGCCTGCCTGGGTTCTTCTGTGGGTAATCAGTTCCCACAGCATCGGCTAGCTCTTCCCCACCCCCACCCAGGCCTCTGGGAGGGCGGGGCCTGGCTTGTGCCCACAGGAGAACAGCAGTGCCAGGCAAGCCAGGCTGGCTCTGGGCCAAGGTCCGGGGCCCAGGCTTCTGGGAACGCTCACCTCGGCTTCCGAAAGCCTGGGCCTCGGTGTCCTCGCACCCCTACCTCCAGACTCTCCACACCACCCAGGGGCCGTAGGTGATGCGGACCTGCCGCGAGAAGGGGAGGTTTCCTCCTACCTCCCATCCACCCACCCCCTCCATGAGTACACGTACAAAGAGACGTTGAGGAGAAAGGTCTGACAAAGGAGCTTTGAAGACCGATAGGTCGTGGGGAGGGGTAGACAGGCTGAAGGATGGGGGTCTAGAGACGTGCGGACCCGCACGCACCGACAATCCGACAGACCCAGCCCCACCAGCCCGACCCTAACCCGCTGGGCGCTAGGACCTGGGGGAAGGGGGGCGTGTTGCGAGCTATCAAAGAGGGCTCTTTGCAAGCGCGCCCGCGGGAGACTCGGGGATGAGGTCACTGAATGGATGCCCCCCGCCCCCGTCCTCACTCTCCCCCGCCCCCTTAGTTGACCTAACTTTCTGACCCCGGCTCCTCGCTCCTGGCACTGATCCCCTCCCAGGTCTCCAGGCCCTAACCCTGGCCTTCGACCCCGACCCACCCCGGCTACAGCCTGGGAGGCGGAAGAAGCAGCGCGCCCCCCTTCCCAGGACCCCCTCACCGGGAAGATTGGGGTGCTGACCTCCGCAGGGGGGTCTGAGGGGCCACGGGGACCCACGCAACCTCTGCCTCGCGCCCCCACCCCCCGGAAGCGCTAACAGCGCGGTTCTTACGTAATGCCCAGCTCCAAAGTCCCCCGAATCCGCGCAGCCCCCGAAGAGGCCTCGCGGATACCGGAGCCTCGCACGGCTCACCAGCCTCGGTGCCCGACGTCACTTTAGAGCCCTAACCGCGGGGGCAGCATCAAGGGGCCGCGGGATTTGATTTCTCCCTAGGAGCCCCCTGAGAGAGGAAGGGAGGAGGGAGGTGGAGAGGGAGGGGACGGACCTGAGGGAAAGGACCCGGGGGAACCGGACCCAGAAAATAGGGCTCCAAGTGCTGTACCTGCACGAAGAGGAAACCAGGGCCTCGGGGTGCGCGCTGGCCCAGGGTTCGGGGGGCTCCTACCTGCGCCCGGGGGAGCCCGTAGCTCGGTGCGGCTCCGGCGCAGCCCGGCTCTCCGCGTTTATTGCTTGTCAATCGCTACCCAGGCTCTTAAAGCGGCGAGGCCTCCTCTGCGCGAGGGGGCGGAGACCGAGAGGGGAGAGGAAGGGAGGGGGACACGCACCGCGCGGGAAAGGCCAGAGAAAGTAGTCTTCCCGGGCGGCTAGAGGGTAGGCGGGGAGGCAGTGGTTTGGGAGACACCGCACAGCCCAAGACCCTCTGCTGTCGTTCCACTCGGGGAAGCACAGGCTGGGACCTGTACCCACCGGCGTCCCTCGGCGCCCAGCGATCCCTTAAAAGGGCGATGGTGAAAAAGTGCTCCCTTCTCTCAGCGGAGACCCGCGGTCCAATTTCGGGCTTGCCTCGCCTTCCCACTCCCCCCCACCCGCCCCTTCGCTGTCCTGCTCCCCACTTCGGAAAAGGAAAAGGAGGAGTTTAGGGAGATCCCCAAGGGGCAAGAGACCCTCCCCAGAGGGTCTCGGGCTCAGGGGCAGCTTCGAAGGAATCGAATGGTGGATAGCGGGATCCCAGACGCTCTGCAAGAATTTGCAAAAAAAAAAAGTGGGGGGTAATGTCTTCGAGGAGTAGTTTGAGATCTTATTTTAAGTCTGGATCGGAGAGCTAGTCCAAACCCCTGTCTACGGGATATAAAAGAAGTAACTCGCTATCCTTCCAGAGTTCCATCTCAAGAAGTAAAGTGTTAAACCGAGTTCGTTGCCTGCCTTCGCCGGGCTCTGGCTCCACCCCAGACCTGCTAGTAAAAGATAGTGTATGGCCTTGAATACTTGGAGGTTCACCCTGGAGACCACCCTTGGTTCAAAGAGCCTAGCATTTGGCTAGGTTATCTCTCTAACCTCGGTGTTCTCCCACCCCCCTCTAATTGCCTTCCAGAATATTCCTTCTTGTTAGTTGGGGTCCTAATATCAGAAATGGACCAAAGCTCCTGGCTGTCTCAGTGTTGGGGCCTGCGGCTCTTGATCTCTGGGTTGTGAGTTTGAGTCCACTTTGAGTGTAGAGATTACCTAATAAAATCTTTAAAAAGAAAGAAAAAAGGGGGCGCTTGGGTGGCTCAGTCGGTCAACTGTCCGACTCTAGATTTCAGCTCAGATCATGATGCTCACGTGAGAACAAACCCTAAGTCCAGCTCTGTGCTGATAGCCAGCTTGGGATTCTTTTTCTCTCCCTTTCTCTCTCCCCCTCCCTGACTTGTGCATGCACACTCTCACTCTCAAAATAAACATTTTTAAAAAGAGAGAGAGAAAAATGGACTGCATCCTGGAATCTTGCTTGGGAATCTCAGAAATGAGCTTGACTTGCAAATCCATCCAGGAAGCAAGAGACTGGCCCCGGGGCCCCAAGAGACTCAGTTCGCCCCTGAGCTCTGGAGGGCTCTTGGTCATATAGGTATAGGGAAAAGCCACAACATAAGGCCAAAGTCTGCTGAAGAGACTGGGCATGGGTGCTCTCCGCCCTGACTGAGGAGAAGAAAGGTAGTTAGCGACCCCATATGGTGAAGACTGGAATTGCAGGCTTCAGTTTCCAACCCTCTCCTCAGCTCTCAAACCAGAAGAGCCTCCTAATTCAACTCAGAAAAAAAAAAGTCCACTTCCATTATGAAGGCTACCTACCACTGTCACCTGTCCATTTCTGGGCAGAGAATCACCCAGCTCATTGCATTTGGTGGGGAAGTGGAAGGATCTTGAATCCCTCCAAAATATTAATTACTTCTTCTCAATCAGGCAACTCTTATGCCATCACAACCCATAACAAACCTTCATTTCCATACAGGATCCTCAAGACAAGGTGGAATCCCAGACTCTGGCCCCACTAGGGAAGTGGAGCCCAATTTGTCATTTTTACCAGCTGCTTTCCCCATATGCACACTCCCAGTAGTCAGTTAACAAGTATCTTTCTAAAAGGGCCTTACAGAATGCCAGCCCCTCACATCTTTTTAGGATCTTACAATGGATAAGCGGATTCTCACAGCAGCCCGGTGAGGTTCTGGTGTGGGGAGAAGAATTTCTTAATGCAGAGTAGGATGCTCCTATTCTGTTTCAGACAAGATGCAGGTTTCCATAATACCAAGTCAGATGCCAGCTCTCATGCCAGGTTCAGTGACTCCTCATCTCCTGGAGCTCAGTTTGGGGTCGAGATGGGGGAGGGGGCAGTGCCTGGTGGTATAGTTGAATGTCGTAACAGAGGTGCAGTAAGTGGTCCCCAGGGATTAAGAGTTACTACTGGTGGGAGATAAAGTAGCTGAGAAGGGAAAGAGGTTGGAAGGTCCGCAATGCCCATTGTTCTGGGGTGGGGGGGGAAGGGGGGGACGGTGAAGGGGACAGAGTCCTCTCTGTGGTCTGTAATGAGCTCCATCTTCCTCCCTGCCTCCGCAGGTCACAAGGTGCAGGTAGTGTCTCTGCTTCCCCTATAATCAAGGTTTCTCTCTGGTGGATGTTCATCCCAGGCCTTTGGAAATCAGGACACAGGGAGAAATAAAACTCAGAGCGGCTCTTCTGAATTTCAGGCAGATCCGGCCCGGTGTACAGTGACATTACACTGCCACTAAGGGCCAGCAGGGGCCGCCAACAGCTATGCTAAGTCTACTTAACACCCACCAGATCGGACCCCCACCCCTGCAACTTGCCAGTCTTGTTCTGGAAATCTTTCCTATTGGCTGTATCTCTCAATAAAAAATAAAAATAAAAAAATAAAAAGTAAAAGTTTAAAACTCTCACTGCATATATATGTGTGTGTGTTGTGTGTGTGTCCTAGGCCAGTTACATTACCTCTCTGGGTCTCAACTTTTTCATCTGTACAATGGGCATAACAGCCTCCACCTTGGGAGAGGACAGCTGTAGGGTGGCTGCCACAGTGCAAGGCACACAGAAAGTGCTCCGAAAATGTTTCCCGTTGGGTCTGGGTCAAACAGGCTCTAGCAAGGTGCCATCTGGGCAGTGGATGTTTAGTCTCTGCCTCCGGGTATCTGGTGTGCCCATAGCTGACCTCAGGTCCTCCTCGGGATGGGGCTTCCCAGGGCTGCTGGACCCCCAGGTATCTGGTGTGCATAGTATGTCCTCTTCCCGCTGCCCACACAACCATTAGTGGCATCATGCCCAGCCCTATCTGTGCCACCCACTTCTCTTCCTCCATTTCCCCCACCAGGGTGCCAAGGGCTTTGCTGTGGACACTGTATCGGGGGGGGGGGCAGGAATAGGGCGCCCATCACCAGAGTGGGGACGAACTTGCAACAGGCAATGCGGACGCTAAGCGAGGGAGGGAGTCTTGCTAGCCACCCCAATCACCCAAATCCATTGCTGGAGACCCTCCTAAACCAGTTATGCCTCGGACTGCTTCCCGGGGCCCCAGACAGGCAGGGATGAGGGGCCAAAGGGGGAGAGAGCGGAGGGAGGCTGTAGACAGTGGGAAAATATGCCCTGCGGACTGTGTGAGGCACTTGAGTCATGTAGAGACAGAAAGAAAGGAGAGAGGAGCGTCCCTGCTTGAACTGGTGACCTGGAAGAGGGCTGCATGTGCGGGCGTGCACGCATGCACTCATGCCCTGGGCCAAGGAAGCACTTGCAGAGTGGGTTGAGGCAGAGACAGAAGGTACAGGGGCCGTGGAGATCATTAGGGCGGCTCGCTGGGTGACTTCAGGCGAGTCGTTCGGCCTGGGCTGGGTAATATCCGTCTCATGTGTTCTGTGTAGACTGGATGGGATGACCCACATAAAAGTGCTTTGTGAACCATGGCAAGGGAGCCAGGTTACTCAGGACATGCCCTGGCCACGGCCCCTTCCCTAGGAGGCAGGGAGGCCCCAGCCCCAGATTCGTTCTCTGTCCCCCCGCCCCCGACACACACAGCAACGGCTCTTTGCCCCCCAGCCCTGCTTGTTTTCAACTGCTCAGCTCCAAGCCTCCCCACCAGGACCTTCTCCTGCCCTCTGCATCGGGGTTTAGCCACACAGGGTGGGGGTGGGGTTCCCCTTGTGCACTCTCCTCTCCGAGGTCACCACTTTCAGGGTCACAGCTAACACGCAAAGCCTGCTTCCCTGAGCCATCTCTGGTGCCTGCCGTTACACTTCTCTGCCAGCACCGATGTGCCCCAGCCTCCTACTTCCTTAGCCAGATGGCCAGATGGGCCCAATTCCACTCTCGATGGGGAAGGAGGGGAGATAGTACGAAATTAGGAGAAATGGGGTAGCTCGTTTCTTTCCACTGTGTCCGGGGCATTTGCCTATTCAGTTCACCTCACTGCTTAGATTTGCATCCTTTCATTTTTCAGAAAGCTTATTCATAATTCAAAGTTGTATCCAGCACTTGTGGGCTGCCGCTCTGGGCTCCAACCATCAGCTGCCCCACAGCTGCCATTGGTGAACCCTCCGCCAGGCACAGTTCCAGTCTCCTTGCACGTATACGTGCCTTTGATCCTCATAACAGTTTGTTGAGATGTGGACTACTATGACCCCATTTTACAGATGAAGAACTGGGGTACACAGAGATTAAGCAATTGGCCCAAAGGCATTTCCACTGCTGAGCGGTGGAGCTGAGATTTGGCCCCAAATCCACCGTAGATCCTGGACCTTGCTTCATAGGTACTATTTTTGGCTTTCATTTCTTCAAAGATGAAGAAATGAAAGGTTAGATGAGTTCAGTGACTTGCCTGCCCGGAACGCACAGCATGCAAGTGGCAGAGCGAAGCTTTAGCAGGTTTTGTTAGTAAAGAAACTTGCCTAGTTTTCCATAAATTATTCTCCCGTCTACAAAAATATGATAACTCACAAAACTGCTGCACTTACATAACATTTAAATTTGACTTAATTTAAGACAGTGCATAAAATTATCAGCATCACAAGAAATAAACATCTAGAAACAATTTGTAGTCTTTCTGGCTAATCCTTCGCTGTTATCCATCACAGCTTAAAGTAATCTTGAATTTATCTAGACTCGATTAAAGTACTTTTGGTAATGTATCTTAAATCTTTTATGAACTTGGCATCTGAACCTGGCCTTGGGAACAGC